AAGAAGGAATACGCAGCGTAGAATGTACTGGTCTTTGCAGCATTTAATTACATTCTTCACGTATAATTAATGGTGAAGCTGTCTTGGGCATGAAAGCAATTTCATGCCGAAATGATTCCCCCACAAAGTTTTAGGGGCCGAAGACAAATAAAAGAAGGGCATCTTTTTCCTGAAGCATAGATAAGCATAAACAACTGTTTTATCACCAAAATCATCTGGGAAAAATAAGATCGTAGACTCTTTTATATATATATATATATATTGGCAAACCATGAAGAAGTGACAATAGACAGGAAATTGGATCAGTTGGTCCTAGCAGCAAGAGTGATCATCATTTCAAACCATAAGTCGTTTGTCACGTGAGAGAGAAATAAAAAAGTGGAGAATGATCGTGGAATATATATATATATATATATATATATATATATATATATATATATATACACAAAAGTGAGATAGTTTCGTAAAAAAAAAAAAAACAGATACGTATATATATATATATATATATATATATATATATATATATAAGTGAACATATAAGTCAACACTTGATATTTTAAAATTTATTTAAAAAAAAAATTATAATATTATGTTCTGCTTTGTATCCAGCACTGTTTTTTTTTTAATAACTATAAACTCTGGATTATAAATCTGATCGTTCTTTTTATTATATATATATATATATATATATATATATATATATATATATATATATATATATATATATATATATATATATATTATTTATTTATTCAAAAGGTGGTGATGTTTAATGTAGAAACATTCAACGCCATCATTTGAGAAGACACCAGAAGTGTTGAAACAAAATGGCTATTTTTATAGTGACATGTTATAACATATTTATGTTATAATTTTTGAATAAATAATATTTGCTCTACTCTGTATTTAGCACTCCTTTAAGAGTAGTGTTTTTGGTCATTGGAAGTTTATTCCGCCACACCAATCCTATACTTGTATATATATATATATATATATATATATATATATATATATATATATATATATATAGTGAACGGAGAGGTACAGTGACCGAGAGATATGTTCAAATAAAATGAAATAGACTGCAAGCATTTAATATCTTTGTTCCGAATTTTTCTTTTGTCCTTTCAATTCTTGTCTTTCGTAAATGTTCAGGTAGACGGAACTGAATTCTTTTGACATTTGTCATGTTCCTCTTTGAATTTTCTTTATTTGTTTTTTCCTATAACATGTTAACTTTTCTAGATTCTAAGCCGTAACCTCTATTTCTACTGTTTTTTTGCGTAGGTTCCCCTACCATCAGCCTTTATTTTGTTTCTTTTTCTTCATATTTTTTTCCAATAACTTTCCACCAACGGTTATTCTCTCATGAATGTTATTTTGCATTGGAGTTTGGCTGATAGTTAAGAAGCGAAAAAATTGAAATCGGATGATAGAGTCGAAATTTCTGCTAGTAACTTTTACAGAAATCCCTTCAGAGAAGGCAGAAATTCCATTTCTGGATAACTAGATAGAAATTATTTACGGTTTGGCATTAGAAATCGAAGACCATATTTAGAATTTCTTTGCATTCAATTACGCGCAAATACGCTTGAGAAAATTATAAATCCATCACTTTTAGCCAAATACGACGGCAGACAGGGTTCCTTTATCGTGGTTGGTAACCAGTCTTGGAGAATTATAACTTTGAATACAAAACAGCGTTGGTATAGAAATGACAACAGCATCCGTTATATAATCATACTAGTTACTATGGAAACTAAAGCAACAATTCCGTGAAGGCTCAGCGTTGTGGCACCATACTCCTCAGGGAGTCTCCGGAATTTGTGTAATAGTAGTAGAATTAGTATTAATAGTGGTAGTGCATATCATCCTGTACAGATATGTTGAACAAGCGGGCGTTTTTAAGTGGAACGGATAAAAATTCCGTATAACCATAACAAAAATCAGAAAAGAGAAAAACAATAAACTATAAATATTTAACTATGAAAATACGAAGGCCTTTAAGAGAATAGCCAAAGAAAGCGATTGAAGATCGTTAAAAAAGTGACAGTGTTCATATTCGAAAGGTACGAATCGATCTCTTCTCCCTCAGCTATGGGTTAAATATTCGTTGGAAACCAGTCTACCCAGAAAGTAACAAAAGCCTACTACGGGAATTTTTCTGTCAAGTCGATTTTGTATTGAACGAGAGAAGATTGCCGAAGCGAGCATCACACAGCTGTAACTTTGATACCCACAGCAAAATTTGAAATTTTGTGAATAAGTGAACATTTTTAATTGAATTCGCCAAAATGCTTAATATAAAAATAAAATAATACATAAAAAAGAACAATGTCATAAAAGGCAAAGAAAATATAATAGCGAATGTGAGCAATTCGGGGGAGTAATGGATAGCGGGTCGGATTGAAGAATCTAGTTCGGATTCCAGTCAAATCGATTACATTCACTTACGTGCTAATCCTCCCTCCAGCTATCGATAAATAGCAGGACAGACCGGGTTCTATAGCCTTCGATGGCAAATGGTCCACCGGAGATCGTTAAAATCGCAAAAAATGGCAACTTATTAAGGGAAAAAATATCTGCCTCGTCAGTCTTTACTGTTTGCATTAATCGGACTATTGTCCTCATACTTGTCACCATATTTATTACAACATTTCGGGCGTTGTACGCTCCGACCTTCTTCAGGTGGTTGGAATGTTGAAATGATCGCGTTATTTCGCTCACTGTTCTAGTTTCACGTGTCATGTCTAATGGATGTCAGTTATTTCCTGTTAATTCCACTCACTAAGTTCTCACCACTACCGTTTACTTCGTTCCTGGTAGGGCCACCCAAGGCGGACAGGTCTGACACAGACGCCGGCTAACAAGGGCTCTGGTAAAAATCCAAAGAGCGTCTGCATCGGCAACCGGCGGCTTCTGGTCGTTCCTGTCTCTGCGTCTGTGGGAACCCCGCGGCAAGCAAGAACGTTATTCGAGTAGGCCTGGGTACCCTACTTCTGTAATTTATCCCAAGAATCTTCTTCTCACAACAGGAAGAAGCCGGCTCAATCCGCCCAGGGTGAATGCCGCATCAGGACAGGACAGGACTAAGTTCTCACCGCCTTATTAAACTCACACTCTGTGGGTATTGTCACTGGATCTAACTAACGCCTTTATCCACTGCGCCATGTGTCCTTGTGGACATCTATATATGAATTTCTGGGTATTATAAGCGTTTTTTACCAGTCTCATATTGAAATTTTGTTGTTATAATTGCATGTTTTTACCAGAGCTCATATTGCAATTTTTGTAGTTTACCGCTTTTCTCTGGCGCTCCTTATTACTGGTTCCCATATTGTATTTATTTCTATACTTGGTCGGCTCAAGAGATTTTTGTGGCCTAGTATATGTGCTGATTCCTTAAGTTTACGAATTTTCCAATGGTGTTGTTTGTCTATGATCTCAACCTGATCCCTGGTAAAAAAAAACATTATCTAGACTGTCGATTAGTTGCCCTACGGCCATTGTCTGTGAAGGACGTTACTCGAAGGAAGTATACGAATATTATAACACTGCCCGAATACACCGGCAAGCCTTACCAGCGAGCAAGTGAAAGTTTTATAGACTACTCCAGAAGCTCTGCTGATTTAAATCCAATCGAGTATCTGTGGTCAAACTGCAAGGAACAACATCGTGGAATGGAGATACAAAGTACGAACATGTGCACTGGGTCATGTTTTATTGGAAAAAATACCAAAAGAAAATATAAACGGAAATAGTCGTTTTGTTTCAATTAATTTACACACGGGTGTATAATGTTCATACACAAATTGAATACAGTCAATTGGTTTTAGCCTCCAGACTTCAAGGCAAGATAGAAAAATTATATAGGTACGACCGGAATCGGCCATTTTTATTAACTAAGAAAAATGCCAGCAGGCCTCTGCAGGACATTTTTGTAAATGTAGGGAGTGCGTTTTTATCAGTTCTTTGACTTTCTCAAGTGATTAGACATAACATTGTATTGAACTATGGAAAATGTAATTGATAATGACTACAAATATATAATAATAGGTCCGCAATGTGATAATCTCTTTTGACAGAGAGAATGACAGCGTAGAGTTGGTGATTGAACCTGCAATTGTGGTAACGTGGTAATTCCTTACCACTTGTAGCCCCTTACAATATGGGAAATGCGATATATATATATATATATATATATATATATATATATATATATATACATATATATATATATATATATATTCATGAATTATTCACACAAAAACAAATGCAAAGGTTAATGATTTAATTGGCGAGAAATCCATCGTCGCAAACAATTCAAATAATATACAAAAACCTCCGAATCCGTTATGAATGAAAAGATCCTTTTTTCTATAGATTTCTGCCGTATTAGTTCTTATTTTTACTACAAGCTTTCGTCTGTTCCTACAGATATCTTCAGGTATGGAATAGATGTTGTTCTTGTTTTTTCTCTTAGTAATAAGAGGACAACGAAAATATATGTATTGTTGTATCCGAAAATGCTATTGGAAATGAGTTATTGTTTTTGGAGCGCGCAGTAGCAACGCTGAGTTTGATTTCTCGTCAATTAAATCATTAACCTTTGCATTTGTTTTTGTGTGAATAATTCATGAATTTGTAAATTGATTGCACGTTTATCGTAATATATATATATATATATATATATATATATATATATTCCGTTGGGAAATATATGAATCTTCTTCTCTTCCCCAAGCTATGGTTAAATAGTAGGATAGATTGGCTTCTATAGGTGACAAACCGTCTGTCTGGGAGAAGGTAATTCTGAATTCAAAACCGGCCTGGAGAGGGTCGGGATCTATCAAGATATCTTGCCCAGGATGGATCAAGGGATTCACGATCGCCCGATCGATGTATATTCAACGTTGTTTTTCTTCTATCTAGCTTTATTAAACTTCGTCATATCTATCTATCTATCTATCTATCTATCTATCTATCTATCTGAGTTTTAGTCTGTTCGTATCTATCTATCTATCTATCTATCTATCTATCTATCTATCTATCTTTGTGTTTCCATCCAACTATCTATCTCCCTATATCGTTTCAGACTGTTCGTATCTATCTATCTATCTATCTATCTATCTATCTATCTATCTTTCTATCTATCTATCTATTTCAATCTGTTCATTAGATTGAAGGAACTATCTCTATGCTAATAATTACATTCAGCAATCTATCTATCTATTTCGATCTTTTAGTATATATATATATATATATATATATATATATATATATATATATGTGTGTGTATGCGTGTGTGTGTGTTCGTGCTTGTATGTTTGTGTGTGTATATATAAATAAACATGAAGAAACTCATAAATAGGCATTTGCCTAAAGCCCTGTAGAATTGAATTGGACATACGTTCGAATATCGGCGTTCATGTGTTAAAAAGCAACGTTCTGTATTATATCCCTTTTCCTCGCCTATGAAGTCTCTGGGATATTCCCAAGATTTGACATTAAAAGTCAGGCAAATACTTTTATTCATACTACAATCCTAACATCTCTTCTAGGGACAGAGTAAAGTTAGGTTGTCATAGAAGTTACTTTCCCGCCGTATTATTTCTGCATAAATCACTCTTTCATGTACTTTAAATATTTCTTTTGTTCGTATGTTAAATCTTGAATTTTTATTCTCTGGACACGGCTACATATAACTGACTACGAGAAAAACCATGTTTTTTTTTAATATTATATTATGATTTTTTTCTTTTACTTGTTTAAATAATTTAGTACTGTTTAAAGTAAACATAATTAAACAGACTATTTTAACTTCTTGGTTCAATTTTAGTAAATTGTAGCAATGCCAAAAAGCAGACGACCACAATGCTTATTATTACGAACTTTCTAGGTCTTCTAGTTTACAACTCAACTTTGGCAAGCTATATATGAGTTAATTCTATATAAACATGAAGTTTAAAATAAGAATTTTCGAAAAAAACCTTGCTATTTTTTTGAATTCTTTAAACAATTCAGTGCAGTTTAAAGTAGATATAATTAAAGAAATTATTTTGACTTATTGAGATGAATCCATTTTCTTCTCGATTCCTCTCTACTAATTTGTAGCAAATGTAAAAAATCAGACGTCTACAATGCTTATTATTAAGAACGTTCTAGCTCTCCTAACCTATAACTTAATTTTCCCAAAGCCGATTTAAATTAATTCCATACAAACATTATAAATTTAGAAACAAAATTATCGACAAAAACATTACTACTTTTTTTAAAAATTTCTTTAAACAATTCAGTGCAGTTTAAAATAGATATAATTAATCATTATTTAGACTTATTGTGATAATTCCAGTTATTTCGCTTTCATTCGATTAATTTGTAGTAATATGAAAAAGCAGATTATCACAATGCTTATTAATACGAACGCTCAAGTTTACAAATACACTTAACAAGGCAGATATTACTTCTATATAAACACTATGAATATAAAAACAAAAATTATCGTCAAAGCACTGCTTATAGATGGGAATTGTTACTATTTCAATTAGATAAATAACAAAAAAAAAACATTTATTATAATATACGTGTAAAATATTTTGCGCATTGTTTTTGTAATATTTTTTTAAGCATTTCACCCCAAGCAAGGCTGGAAGAGGTTACAGAGGATTTGGAGCGAGAGCAGAAAGGAATGATAGAGGAAAGGATGAAGAGAAGTATAGTGCAACTGGAGATGACTATTGACATTACATTTGAATAGTTGGAGATTATAGCTATCAGGGAAACAGGTAAAGGGAAGGGAGTTCCATGGGTGAGAAGTGCGAGACATGAAGCTATTGGAGTAGAAGAGACGGCTATATTTAACAGTTTCAACAGTGAAAGGGTGACAGTGGGATGCCAGCCTCGTAGGACGCTTGAATTATATTTAAGAGTGGTATCCGTTCATTATTTGACAACAATGTTTATCAGTCTTATATATATATATATATATATATATATATATATATATTATGCTAATCATGTCAGTTAGAAAAGCAATATATTTCTTTACGCAAAATTTATAAGAATTTACATATACAGGTTGTCTATTTTTTTTACATTAGATGACATTTAATCAAAGAAAATTAAACGATTAGGCTTTATTGTAAGCGTCATATTCTCCTGCATTTTTAATTTGATCGGATTTTTTTATCATTGGAAGACAACAGTAGCGTTTAGTTTAATCTAATTACATTCAAAATGACTGAATTGATTTTGTTCTAATTAATCTTATATTACCTTGCCTCATCTATCTATCTATCTATCTATCTATATATATATATATATATATATATATATATATATGAATGTATATAAATAAAAAGAAAGAACAGTAAGATATGTAATCCGTTGTTCTTATAGATATTTTTATTTTTACAAAATAATGATCAATGTAAATTTGCAGAGCATTAATATTATAAATTAATTGATTTAAAATATGTTTTTTTTCGCTACACAGTTCTAACTATGTTTCAAAAATGGAAGCTAAAAGCCCCGAATTTAATTATGTAATTAAATTAAAGACATTAGTTCCATTTCATCCTCAAGAGAATTTTGGAGTAACTTTTAAAATTACTGGGTTTTAAAGACACAGCTAAAAACATAATTCATGTTTCCAAGGTTACAGATGAATCCAGTTTACTAGACGAGGGGTGTCTGGGTGTTCAACGTAGCAATAACTGATACATTAAAATATAGACATAATGAACGGATAGGAAGTTGTGGAGAGCCACGATTACTTACGTTCAAACGGAAGGGTTCACGGCACACAGAAAATGAAATATGCATGTAATTCAAACGCAAGAGAATGCATATTTCTGCAATTTAATTGATTCATTTTTTTTACTTCCTATCTATCTTTTGCCGATTATTTAAAACCAGAAATCATACTTATTATAAAACCCAGGTTGTTTTTCAACCGATTTCAACAAAACTTCACAGAACTACGTAAAAGTACCTTGCGGTGGTTCTGACAGCGCCGAAACTTGGAAAAACACAATTGTTTTTGCACGAAATCAATTTGAAAACACGATTAAGAGGCATCGCTATTGCGAGAATGAAAGTGGGACAATTCATATCGAGTTATACTTATTATAAAACTCAGGGTTGTGTGTGTGTGTGTGTGTGTGTGTGTGTGTGTGTGTGTGTGTTCGTTTATATATAGGATCGAATTTCCTACATTTTTCAACCGATTTCAACCAAAAATTTTTTTTTTTTTTTTTTTTTGGTAGGTGGTGTTTCTCTTTGTCTTGCACACTTTTTTCTTTATTTTTACATTCAGAATGCTTTAAAAATTCCATTTACAAGACAATTGTTTATCATAAAATTCTATTCAATCGGTAGACTCATAACGATTGAAAACAATGTTTTTGTTTGAGTTTGGATTTGACCAATTCGTAAAAAAATCAAAAAAAAGCAGAAAAAGAAAACTAATTAAGATATGCGCGTCCGTCAACCTTAAACATGAATCTTTGTCTATTTTATTTTTCAGTCTTATGATGGTCGATACTTGATCTATCTCTTATTGTTACATCTCCGGGCAACGCCGGGCTCTACTGCTAGTCACTGCTATATTGTCAGGATGTTTTTTAGGATAATATTGATCTACTAATTAAAGTGTAACTGAGCGAGAAGCGGTTAATTCATGCCTTTCCCAAGTGTATTTACGCGGAAGTAAATATAACGAACCCGACTGGAATTAGAACTCGGCTCTCCTGTTTCTAAATCCGTGCCGTTATCCACTCTACCACCCGCATGTCCAAGCTTACAGTACCTGGTATTCTAAAACTGTCAAATATATACTGATAGGTCTCGACGTTGCTTAACTTTTGTGATCATATGATGTTTCAACGTTATATGATCGTAAGCCTTCTGCAATTTAAGATTCTATGATTGATCGAATCTGTAAAAAATGGTTTAGAAAATTTTGTACCCACGCTTTATCGGTGAGCGATGCTCCACGGTCAGGGTGAACAATGGAGATTGAAGTCAATCAAATAAATACATTGAAAGAGAGGGATCAATATTATATGCTTCAGATTAGGCTTAAAATATACAGATTATGCTTTGGAATTAATTTTAAGTCATTATCAAGTGAGCTTTTTTCCTTGGTAGTTCGACCACAAGAATTTAAGCGTACTACTAGATTGGCAATTAGGTCTCGAAATTTTACTGTTGAATGAGCTTAAAGCCGTAAGTTCTCTTCTAATTGTTGCTTTTCTTACACATGTCGCCTGTGGAACTCTCGTCCTGTTTCTTGTTTTCCTGATACATCTTCAAAAATACCATCGTGTTATCCCGATAAGTGTAATTTTATTGTCTTTTCTCTACACTAACTTCCGATGGGGGCACGGTGGAGTAATTGTTAGCTGCTCAGATTGAGGAAGCGAAGAACCGATTTCGAAATCCAGTCGAGTTCATAATATTCAATTTGGGAAATGTATGGCATCTATTAATTCTCACCTCTAGTTATGGGTAAAATAGCAGAAGAGATTGGTTCCTATGGCCTTGGTCTAAAACTAAAACGAATGTATGAACGTCTTTTAATATTTTTTCAATCTTGCGTCTTAGTGAAATTATCGCCTTTAAAAGAATTTTAAAAAGTACTTAATTATTTTGACGTTTGGCGTAAACATAAATTATGAGAAGATAATTAATTGCAATGAATGCTAACGAAAGGATTAGTATATGTGTGTATGTGGATTAAAAACGTCTTCACTGTAAAAAGCTCTTTTGACGAGTAAAAGTTCTGGAATTATTGGTAAGAAATGTATTTTACCAGATTACCGCCAGTGTGTCTCTGCGTTTGTTTACGTCTCCAATATGTTTGCCTGGGAACTTTTCAATCATCCACCGCATTCGGTAGAATAACACAAATAGGTTCTATACTGAAATTTCTTTAACTTTACAATATTTCTTAGAAATGCTTATAGCTCCCCACTCCCGACTAAGGGTTTCTTGTTTTTTCTTGGAGCATTTAAAAATATTTTATTTAGTTTACCAAACTCTCAGAAACAAAACGGTAAATACAGTTTATCACGAAGATTTGGAAACATACCTAATTTTTTTCTGTATAAAATTTGTAAACAATTTACGTTGAAATCCGAACAGCATATCAACCTTTTTCAGGTTATTTAAAGCCAGGAGAAGATTTTTAGATAGTATGGATTGTTGGAGATAATAATGATGTAGTGATATAAGTCTTAATAATTAACCCATTGCTGTGGGAGAAGAGGTGGATTTATATCTTTATGAATTGGTATTATTGTTTAATTGATTTGTCTTTTTTTTTTCTTTATTTTTTTCGGTTTATCAACCTTTGTTAGGTTATTTAAAACCGAAACATATTTTTGAATTATAAGAATTTTTGGAGAAAAGAATCATTTTCTGATACAAATCGTTAAGATATCACAAAGAATGGAATTGCCAGTTGCCAAGAATGAATGCAAGCCTTCCATGCAAAACAAGGCTATTATATTTATAATGAAAATGCTTTGCTAATAATTAACGAAATGCATTGAAACTCTGAAAGAGAGTATTTAAGGTCAGGAATAAATTTAAGAATTAATGGCTAAATAAGATTATTATATGTCGAATATAAATGCATTGCTACTGACATTAGACATAGCTCATACATAAGAGAAGAAGAGGATTTCAGTGCTGCATTTTCTATTCTTTAGTAAATCACTTTGATGGTAGTTAGACTGTTTGATTTTGATAATCTGCATGTTGAGATGTTTTTTCTTTGCTAGCAACGATGCATTCTGTCTTTTTACAATTGATATTTTACCATTTTTCTCACTTTCCTTTTCTAGCTTATCTGGGAGTTCTTCTAATATCTTTTCTGTGTCTGATATCAACGTTGTGTCATCTACATATCTCATGTTGTTTTGATTGATTCGGCCAATAAGAAATAACAAGATATTACACCTAAACTTTCATGGTTTTTTTATATTTTAATTTCTAATGAATCTTAATTCTTAAGGTAATGATCGAATGAGCTCATGACGAGTTCTACGACAATAAATTATCCGTAGAAATTCCCCTATCGTATCGTAAATATTTGAGCTAAATAACTCTAAGAAAACATTGCAATAACAATCATAAATATGAATGGTGGTCGTTATTTCAAGAAGTGGGTACAATTGAAAAGAAATCAAATTGACAATTTTTTTTTCATTTCACGGAAACAGTCGTTAAACTTTCTTATCTCCCCTTCTTTCTTTCTTTATTCATTTGTTTGTTTGTTGCTCACTCGCTTTCTTTCTTTCTTTCTTTCTTTCTTTCTTTCTTTCTTTCTGTCATTTTTTTAATTTTTTTATTTTCTAACTGAAACCACGTCCATTATTTATCTTTTAAGTTCAGGGCAATGCTGAATTTCTAAAAACAGTGTAAAATCTTCCCGCCCAAATGAGTGGTACACGCTTGGACGATAATCTCTTCGATTTATGACTAATTTGGCAGAATTCCCACTTCAGACTGTCGTTACTTTCTGCGATACAAATTATTCTTACAATTCAAAAAGGTATTGGCTTTAAATAACCTATAATGGGTTGATAAGCCGTAATAAATCAAATTAATCTTGGTTATGGATTAATTTGAATAATATACCTTTTGGACGACAAACCCTGACGCCTTTCTTATGAATGTCTGAATGTTGCGCATTAAATAAAATAATTATTATTACTAGAAATACTCGTAAAACTTTCGTGGTTTTCATATTTGAATTTTATTTAAAGATTGGATAATCTCATGGTGAGTTCTATGACAAGAAAATATTTGTAGAAATTCCTCTATCGCATCGTTAAATATTTGAATTTAACAACTTTACAAAATATTGCGATAAAAATCATAAATATAAATATTTGTTGTTATTTTAAGAAATGAGTACAAAGATTTGGAATTAACAATATTTTCCATTTGAGTGATTATTTCTTTCTTTCTTTCTTTCTTTCTTTATTTATTTATTTAATTATTTATTTCACCAAGTAAACTATTTGATTTGTCCTTCCACGTAATCAAAATGGAATAGTCCGTTATTCATGAGATATAGCAGGAGACGTTAATCTTCCCGTTTTTTTTATTTCATTTTCTGACTGAAACCAAGAAGTGTCTTTGATGTTTTTGCCTTGTCACGCGAACAAAACGGAATATTAATAGGTATTAACAAGAAACATTAAACATTCCTATCTGTCTATCTTTATTTCTTTCTTTCAGTGAAATCATGTAGCCTCTCTTATATGCCTTGTCTTGACGCGTGATCAAAACTGAATATTCGATTATTTATGAGTTACTGGCATGGCGCAACGGTCGTGTGAACTAACGGACAAGCACAATTATTATAAGAGAGTAGCATTTGTAGTTCTCTCAGAATCGCTACGCAGTAAAGTTTGAACGTGTCTGGTGAGAAGACTATAATTTTGTAGTTTTTTTCAAAATCTTAACAACATCGTTATATGTCCTGC